TGTAGTTTTACCCTTTTCGCTACTTTTAGTTGTAACTAGTGATTTGAGGGGTTTTGATAGGAACCATCACATCACCCAAGCCCACACAAAACTGAGACAACCCCTTCCTAACCCAATCAGTTGTTGCTGGGACATTCCCCCACCTTGCAGCTATACGTCATAAATGGGCAAAAAATGCTCTTGACACAATTGATTGAACCGGGATGGGGGTGTGTCAATGACATTTTTTTTGCAGGCTTGGGCAAACGTGGTTCACACCAAGCCCCCACACATTGTGAGCCAGCTAATGAATCACATCTATGGTAACTAATGAGTTCTTCCTTACACTACTCTGTAAATTGAAGCTCGAATGCAAACTTGAAATGTAACTACATCCTGTGCCTCTGTTGCTGCCTTTTTCCAGTAATGGCAAACACATTTTTGTCCCAGGCTACACCCATATCTTTTTCCTTTTTTTAAGGATTGCGACATTTCATAAAGACTGACAGCATAACTCTGCTAGGCTAGAATATAATGGGAACAGATTTTGTAATTATGAGTTCCGAAAATGATACTTCCATAAAAGCATGAAAACATGTTCTCCAATGATGTGTACCCGCAAAAGTAGGAATTGAATACTTACCTTTCCTCCTGCCTGTGCCAACAGAATACTCCTTCATCCAGTAGAAATCTTTCTCTAAAGTCTGTAGGTAAGCTGACACTTCCAGGAGTGTTGATCTTCAGGGTCCCCTCCCTCAAGGTCCTGCTGACAGTCCATGTTACTGCTGTGTCCTGCGATGACACGGAGGTCGGTAGGAGGAATTAATGGAAGCTGTGGGGAATCCAGGAAAACAATGCTCCTGGAAGTGACTGAGGAAGGCATTCTGGAAGCATAGGCAGCGGGAAAGGTAAGTAGCCCCTCTCTTATTTTGTACACTTCTCTTTTATGTATTTTTTTTTCCATGATAGGGTCACTTTAAAGATAAATTAAATGTGATATGTGCAGGCTGCTGATGCTTCCCATTCTTTTCTGAAAATACTAGTTTCTGAGTCGCTGGTCTTGAACAAGTATTGCAGATCTGGAGCTTTGACTTCCCTCTGACTTTCCTGATCTGCATGCTTGGTCTAGGTTAGTACTTCTGAAAGTATTGATGGCCAAGCCATTCAGGCAACAAGCAATTTCAGCAGAAACTCAGCAATGGCAGGCTCCATGTTTCTCTCAGTGAAGGCTTACTTTAATTTGTAGTACTGGTACTCACTCATTCTTGGCTGATGTAATAACTTTTTATTATGCAATTGCCAGTTTAATAGCCTAGTGTTTCACAACCGTATTAAAATGTCTATATTTTGTGTGCAAAGTGCATTCGTATGGAAAATAATTTTTCGGAACTTATTTTCCTCATTTCAATGAAAAAAAATTGATCTGTCAGCCCTTTATCTCGGAATTCTAGGGCAGCAGAGCTGCTTCCTGCAGGGAACCTATCACATTTACTCTGAAACCTGCTGCTGCAGCAGTAAAATTGATGCTGCTTGTACATTTTCTACCCATTGCATATAGATTATTGTTCCCTCTACCATTCCCCTATTCACCGTGGGTAGCTTCCTCTTTGTCTGGAACAGAGGAATTTAAATCGCAGAGTGAACTTTGGTTCCTGTACGTCTGTTGCTTGCCTCCAGCAAAAATATTGACAGAGTGTTTCATGTGAATAGAGTGCCTGGAATTGTGTATAGAAAGAAGAATGGCATTCACTCAAGACAGTTTATGGAGCATAGCTGTTTGTTATGTTTATATTTGGATATAAATTTGAAATGTTTAGCATCAGAAGCTCAGTAAGTGTTATGTTTTCAATGGTTTAGAGTAGCGCACAATTTGATTGAACAACTGATGTGTGCTGTCCTATGGCATATTGTGTAGATCTGTGGTTCTCAACTGGTGGGTCGCAACCCTGTGTTCAATGGGTTGCCACTTGCCTTCCATTGCACTAGGTGGGAGATAACTGGTGGGCTGGGGGTATGCGGTATGAGGTAGCTCCGTCCATATGTGCATTGCTTACAGCTCGCTCGCGTACCATGTAGATGTGCCTGGACCAGAGTGACGTAATATTCTGGCTCCCGACACCTCTTTATTATAAAACATTTTTTTGGAGTGTGTATGTGTGTATTTGAGATTGTGTCTGTCAGTGTTAATCAATTAATGCACTGTGCCACACAATTGCATCTACCACACATTCTGGTGCAGGAGGTGCGTTGTGTTGCCATTCATATAAATGGTACCCCAAACACACCTCCCGCCCTCAGTTCGATCGTCTGCACTGGAATGCATGGTACCACATTGCCATGCATTCCAATGTGGTGCAACTTAATGACCAAGGACCAAATGTGGGTCCTGAAGTTACACAGTTTGAGAGCAGAGAGAGTGCACACTCAAGTTTGCTAATCCTTAAAGGGAAAACAAACGGTAAAGATGAGGTGAGAAAAATATATAGTTATATAAATATATAGCTTGCATGTGGCTTCTACACAGTTGAGGGTGATGTTTTAATCCTTCCATCAGTATTCTAGGAGATTGGAGTTGCTTAAATCTCGCAAGAAGACACTCTGTGCAGGAGCCTCTTTTTAGGAGTTTTGGGTCCAAAGTTGGAATTTGAATCCCCCGCCTCTTTTTCTCCCTAAATCCCAGAGCATTTTTCCATTTCAGTGATGTCTCGGTTACACACATTACATCTTTTATGGTTTTTTTAGTCTACCCTAAAATAATGTACATTGTTTTTTGGGGACAGATAGGGCTTTAAATTGGTAACAAATGTGGATACATATATTTGTATTTCTTTGATATTTTTATTCGGCATAAATAGTACAATTTTGAAAAATGTATTTTCCTTTAATATTTCCCAGTGCAACATTTATTTATGCCCCCCCCCCCCCTCCTATATTTAATTGAAAACTAAACG